CCTTTATTTGTATTCGCATTAGCGAAACTCACTACTGTTCTCTGTTTACAAATTGATGTTTCGTGAGCTAGGAAACAAAAAAAATGATTTCTATCGTGGTGTTCAAAGCCTCGGTGGGATAATCTCATGGATCTTAGAAGGAACATGGATTTTGTTCTTTTTGTTAGTTTTTATTAGTGTTTTGTTAGTGTTTTATTTGTTGTTTGTTATCACTTTCTCGTACAAAACTAGTCAAGGTGGGTGTCATACTTTGCGAATAATCGCTAGCGAATCGCGCGAATCGTGAGCGATTAGTCACAAAGTGCGACACCTGCCTAGCTGTAAGCTGCCGCGGATGCGACAAATTAGCCAGCCGATGTATTATTGAATCTTTCCGGAACTGGGAAAGAAATTGTCAGGAAGAAGAGGATGCTTTCCCTACATATGAATAGGTAGGTTAAAGCCGCTGTAGATATTGAGTGAGCGACCATAGCAGAATTCTGCCTCCTGGCTCCGAGTCTCATTTCGAGAGGAAGGGGAGGATGAGGTGAGAACGGGAGCGTTCGGGCTGCAATTCAAAAGCAGAGATCAAGACTGGGAACGCGGCGCGCACCAAGAGGAGTTCGTATCACTCAGGAGCTTTCAACAGGGTCAACCTTCACGTTCACCTTTTTCGAAGCTTTGCGATCCCCTCCCCTTTATTAGGTTTCATTGCGACTCCCTCACCCATAATCAGTCTTAGGAGGCTCCTCCAATACATACCCTCCCATCTCCTCCTCTCGGAAAGGGAAGGGGTAAATTGCCACCAATGAAGCGACACAGCCCTCCAATTTTGTCCCCTCACGCGCTTTCCTTAAAAATTTTCCCCGCAATTCTTGTGTTGCCAATCTGATTATCCGTTTCAACTCGACTTCCGCATCGCTCCGCGACCACTGTTATACACGCTTTCCCACCCGAAAATGCGACCGAGCCCTTGCTTCGAAATCACATATTGCGTTCGAATAACGCGAACGGACGGTTGTCCCTGGTTTCAACCCGAGCAGACCGGCAAATCTTGCATGAAATGCTCTCAGTTTGCAAACTGGTGGTGTAATTGACTGAAAGCCCATCGGTTCTTTTTAAACCGTTTGCTTCTCGCAGTAAAACTTTCCTAAGAAACCGAACAAGAGTAAGCGCATTGATGGAATGGAACTAATTTCATACTTGCTGCGAATTGGTAAACTTCAACCAACTTTCGGTATGTGCCACGCATTCGCTTCCATTCTGGCTCCAAAACTCAAGTAATACCACTTTTTTCACTGACGCTGCTCAGCCTTCAAAGGCAAGAATCAGGATTATGTTGATTCCACTCAAATGTGAAAGTAGGGATGGGAGGTGGACCGCCAGTGGAGAAAAAAGGAAAGAAAATCCTGAAATACACAGGAAATACGAGCATTTTGCTCCATGCTGTGGAGAAGTTCAAAAGACAGGCAGGGAGATGAGAGATAATGTGAGCGCGGAGAGTAGAGAAGTCCGAGAAGAGAGAGCATAGCAGATCAACGTGGCGACGCAGACAAGATATCGAACGGTGGGCGGACCATGTTCCATGGGCGCCTCGGGTTAGTGACGGCGTTTCGATGGCAGAAAAGGTGGCCTACCTTATACCCTCCCGTACCCGAGCACTTTCTAGAAGCTAGTGAGGGTTTCTAGGTGGTCCGAGCCCCGAATTGGGCCCGTGAATAATGTGTGAAAGAGATCATTTTGACATTCGAAAAGTCGTTCATTTGGTTGCTGCAATGTTTGCAAAGGCAATGGTAGGCATTAGGCAACAAACGACGAGATATTTCGGTAAAAAACACGCACCGACCTATTTGTGAAGTGGAATTCGCAACATTTATCGTATTATGGTGTAGAGTGTAAAAAGTTGCGCTGTAATTTGCAAAAAAAGTCGTTCTTTGTGGTCGTTCGATGAATCTGTTGCGGTACTCTTTGTTGTCTACCCAAAGAAACAATTATATTTTGAGGTTAATGCACCTCGCGAGGTCGCATTCCTTCTAAGGAGGACTGGACGGTGTGAAATGCTCGCGAGACGTAGTTCAAGCTTCAGGGTTTCCTTTCGCTAAGTTGCTTTGGTCCATCGGAATTGTCTCCACCTTGTAAGGAAAGCACAGCTCGCTACGTTTGTAAAATTTGCCCCTCTCGTCCAATAAGTGTTTCTTTTCGTGTCGTCTCTCCCTTGGTGGCTCTCTTCACACTGTGTAGACTCAACAGTCAAAAGGTATTGGAGGCGGAATTACGCTGAAAACAACTCATTGGAAATCAAGGTAGAGGTGATCTGTGGTATAAGGGTGAAGAAAAATCAAGCGAAATGGCACAGAACGCGAGAAATGGGACCCCTTCTCTGCCCTTGATTTCCGCCATCCTCGTAGGTACTGCTCTCTTCTACGCTAACGCTCTCTTTGCTAAACGGATAGAGTCAGGCGGCAAGGGAGTGGGTGGGCAGCGACGCGAGTGGCGTGGGTGTGGCCCTGCTAGGCGGCTGAGGCAAATCCTTCGCTGTGAGAACATCGTTCCACACCTTGACGGGGGAGGGGGGCTATTTCGGCTAGGCATACTTCCCCTTCGGGCTCCCCTTTTCGTGGAACCCCCCCCCTCCCTGCGCCCCCTTTTCCTTTAAACAAATTTCATCGTGATTAATTAGCAACCACCACAGTACACATGGATGTTTGATTTCTTGCCAGCTATTGTTGATCCCTAGCACCTTTTTTCTGTTTATGTTGTGGCGTTCAAGCCAGTCGCCTGCTCTCATCAGCACGACGTTATTCAGTTTTAGCCCTGTGAGGGGGGGCAATAGCTTAGTGAAGAAGCTGTAGCCGTACTCATCGTTGCTTTGGTCAATTCACAGAATACTTTGCAGCAAGCTAACACTCCTCGATGATCGAAGACACTTCAGTTCAACTGTTTTGGACATGCAAGCTGCAGCACCTTTTACGCAGCAGCGTGGGACCCGTGCGTGTTCAGCTGTGGGGAGCGACCAGGGGTTCCGGGGGAGCAGACTGCGTCAAAGACCCACCCAATGGGCCTTGCTCAATCTATAAAAATTACAGCAAAAAATCGTGACAAATGCACCTCTCACTTTTGACTTGAAGGATCACTGAAGAAAGTTCTTTAACGGCTTCCATTGAGCTTCTGGATGCTCGCAGACCTATTGTCATGGCCCTTCTGCCGTTCACGTTTGTTTCAGTTCGTTAGCGTAACAGCTTTGGATGTAACAGTCATGGTGACGGTAATTGGCTGAGGTTTGGTCAAGCTCAGTTGTGTAGCAGTGCTGGAGTGCGAGTGGGCTTACATCAACAAATTGTAAATGTTCCTCATTCTTCGGCACCAATCGAAGGATAACGGGTGAAAGGAGCATGAGCTTACAGCTGGCAACCTTTGTGTCCCCTTTTGTTTTGTAAGTGTTACGAGTAAGAAACTGAGAGCCACTGTATGGATGAGGAATGTGAATCAGGCGAAGATACAACGATACTGATTAGTCAACGTTACATAACGGTCCGTACTCACTGATCGGTCCTCTAGGTTTTTTTAAGTGGAGTCTAGAACAATATATACATTTGCCCAATTTTCTCTCTCTAGGCCGTTAATGTATGTTTTTTGTAGATGGGAATGTGTTTTCGTAAGCTGTCGCCGGTAGGCTCTGAAGACTAAATTTTCTAGTTCAAAGATCTCCTCCCACTCATGAAGGGCTGTGAATCGCTATCAATATTCTACGCCATTTTAAGCTTAAAGGTAGATGCCTCGAAATGAGGCTTTGTTTGCTATTGGCTCCGAAAGCAGGACGCGACGGATTCAGCGGAGGATATCAGCGCGACTTAGCGTCAAGTTTTTGTGATAGGATGACTAAAGGTACTCTCACATCGCCAAGTTACACGCGATGCGACTCATCCGCCTACCCGGTTGCATCTCTGCGCGACGCGGCCATCCTGTCGGGCACCGCGGAAGGCCCGTTCAAGATTGAATTCTTTGGGGATGATATCGTGCCGCACAGTAAAACGAAGAAGGGGTGCCAAATTGAACACAGCCTTAGAGAAGTAGGAAAAGAGGTGCATAGGGAAAAATACCTGAAAACTTGTTCATATTTTGTGATTCGGCTTTGCTATGGCAAAGGGGCGAGGAAACATGGGCGAGAGAGCGCAACGTAGGAGAGAACGTAGACAACGTTTTGTGGTTGAGGAAAAACAGAAGCGGTTGAAGCGTTTTAGAGACCCTTAGCAATCTTGTCGGCGCACTTTCGGAAGCGAGGAAACGGGGCTATGAAAAATGCGACGACTCCGATGCGAACCGCCCCATCTTACCACATCAGGGGAACTTGAAGCTAACGTGAATCATCGAAAGTTGCTCCTTGGGAGCGCATGGTCGTCCGTCATCAAAGATCTGGGTTTTTATTCAGGACGGAATTGGTGGAAAAAAGTAGCATGCTTATCACGCGCGCGGCGAGGATAGATCGTGTCGTGGGTCGTGAGTCGCCCGGGCCAACCAAGCCTTCCATCCCTCCGGGGTCGGTTAATTGGTACCAGACTTGTCTGGGAGGATAAAAACACTGACTTGTACATCGGCTGGCCCCGCAAGTCATTGTATAGGCCACATCGCATTCAAACGCCACTACGAATGTACAAATGGAAAGTGCCGCATCCCAAAAAGGGATTGATCAACGGCAAATGCTTTTATCGTCATCTACATTGAATTTTTATTTTCGCGTATATAAAAATTGTAGTTCAAGAGGGCCGTCAGTGAATGAAAAAATTAAGAGCTTCTTATTGAAAACTTAGGATTTTTCATTTTTTTATTAGTTAAGCTATTTTGCCCAAGTTTTTGGTGCAGTGCCATTTTTCCGTTACTAAGTTACTAATCGTTATGTTCAATTGTGCTTAAAGGCCATGCGCGTCTTAGACACGAGCGGACAGACCGTAAAACCTTACCAACAGCAAGTGAGTGAGGTCTATCTACATCTATTCACTACAAAAATGAATTCCTGTTTTCAGTGTGCGCACATCCTACCCACCAAGGAAGGACATGGGAAACTGTCCACCACTGTTTGGAAAAGTCACTATTTTCGTCGCCTTTGTGAAGGAATCGATGGAGACGTCAGTTCGTGTTCATTGTAATGTGAGGGCACCTATCGGATATTCATCGGTGAGGGAACTGCATTTTAAGGCGCACAATAGAAGCCCAACAGGAACAAGCTCGTTCACATGCAAAGCAATGCTCTGCCTTTGCTACTTTATTTTGTTTTCTTCTTTTATTTTATTTGAATTTAATTTAATATTTTTTAATTTTTTTTTTAAATTTGTTCTTTGGTTTCTATTTGCGTGTCGCAACGCGCTCAGAGGAGACTACTATCTATCTGCTCGTCTGTTTCTTGCTTTCCTTACACTTATAACGATCACAGGCCTGTCTGTTTCTGCAGTTCAATGAATGAGGACATAATCATCAGTTTTAGTTGTTGACAGTAGTAGATTAGAATTGTGATATGATAGTGCATCAGTCATCCTTCAGACACTACCGAGTTGCCCAGCAGTCGTTAGAGTGCTACCTGAAAGGCGTTAATTACACTGTGTTAATGGTGGACTTAAAGGCAGCATGACGATGTGAAGAAAGAATGCCGAAGAGAAATCAGCGTGTTAGCAGCTTGGTAGTATCTTGATATAGAGTTTGCTATTTAATGTATTATTTCATCTTCGCTTGTTTTTGTTTTCATGGCGCTTTACAGACATTGTCTGTGAGCCTTTTAACTCTTCTCGGTATGAGGACTGAAAGTGGCTTCCAACTTTGATTCTTTGACGATTTCTTATTTCAACCAGTAACGTTTTACCAAATAATTCCTCGGCCAGTAGGATATTTACTGAAGTGCAGTTATAGATTTGGGAAGATCTCACTAGCGAGTTCGTGGGATCGGTTCCTCTAAGTCTAATTTTAGGGCTACAGGCATTGAATATTGCAGAATCCACTTCCCTAAGAGTGCGCTCCGTTGCCTATTTTCAGATTTGTACATACACAGTTCCATTCTTTGAGCATCATTTCGAATATATTACTCATTTTTGCTGGTTTGTTTACCGTATGACCAGTTCAAGTTCATTTCAAACCGCTTTTTTGCAGTTGTTCTTCAAGAAACACTGCGCCGCTGCAGCTTACTTACCGGACACGGACTGGATGCTCGTGCTCGACGCTGACTCCGGTTGGTTTCTATTTGACATCCAGTCGATTAGCGCTACTTTTATTTGAGACCTCTGCGCAAATTAAATAATTAATTTTAATTAATTAGCCGCAACATTTCACTTTTTGTAGAGATCGGTAAGGAAACTGGAGAAATGCTTATCGTAAGTACACGAGTGTAGTGTAATCTCAACGGCCGCAATCGCGAGAGATAAGCCGTTTAGACAGAGCGAGCACCCGAAGTAAGGCGTGAATTACGACGTTCTGCCGTAGTCACGTACAATGCGCGTCACATCGACGCGCTTAAGTCCAATCGCGATAATTCATATGCAACTGAAATATGAAAGTATGTAGGGGAGAAGAAGAACAGATAGAAGATCGAGTAAAAAAACCACAGACCAAACAATCGGGAGCGGGGGTACCCCCCAGGAGGCCCGTCGCGCGGCAAGAAGGCAAAGTCAGCGGACGAGTCGCGCGCGTACTGTAGGGATTTCGCGTCAAGTTAAATAGAGTTCCATTGCACGTCCTACATCGCACATCACGCGCTGCAACTCGTCCGCGACTCTGCCTTCTTGCCGCGCGACGGGCCTCCTGGGGGGTACCCTCGGGAGCGGAGATCCGCTGTCTGACGCTGGAAACAAAGACGCCTTCCCGTCTGATAATGAAACCCAGGCCCAGTGCTCTTCAAGTTGATGGCAAGGACTGAAGGACGCTTGACATGCCTTTTATGAGAGGATCTAGTGCTGCTCATCAAGCGTTGTTCTGTTGATCAGTGTGAGAGGCTTTTGGTATAGGATAACAGTCGCATCCATGCTATTTGTTAGGTAATTAGCTGCTCAAAGCGAGTAGTGGTGCTCGCGCCAATTGCTCTTTCGATTTCTTTTGGATATGAAGATTGCAAATGGAATAAGTCGATTTTTTAAAGCACGGGGGTTAGGATTAGCGGGATCGATGGTAATTCGCTCCGGTCTGGGTACTATGACGCTTCTGCAAATTTAAAGCGTGATGCCGCTTCTCGTGACTCGAAATCCGCCGCGACTTATAACGTACCGCGGCCTGCATCAGGAACGAACTGAGCTAATTGAGAGACCAACGCCGGCAGGTGGGTGCGTGGCTTGAACATAAGGGTTGAATCAGGAGTGTGATTGCGTATCAGTTGCTTTGCGGAGCAGCCATGTGTGTTGCATATTTCCCGGCAAATTCGTTCGGGCTGGCGTTCCTGTTCGCTGTGTGAAGAAGGTTTTATTTTCGGTTTTTGTCACGTATGATCTTCCAATTTTTTCGTTCACTGGCGGTACTTTTGCATCTCGCTTCATCAGTCCGGCGAATATCCGATCCAACCGGGATCGTGCCCTTATATGGCATTTGTTCAAAGTCAAACTGCATTTGAGGTTATTTCTGTCTCAATCGTGTGGGCGGAGCGGTGTCGCAACAGTGGAGAGCAATGTCTCTAGCGCCTCTAGGCGTTTAGTGCGCATTTGTATGAGGGGATTGGCAGTTGGCCTGAGTTGAACGATTCCCATGCGATTCCTAGCCACTTAAAAGCACTGTCCCTAGCAGGGTGGGCGTGGTCGGAAACGGCTGCAATCCCCTCGGCCGATTCCCACTTCGGAGCTGTTCAGCCCTTAGTCAAGAACGTAAGAAGTGTGACTGAACAAAAACTCACCTTGGAAAGCCGCTAGGGAGGGAGCTGAAGTGGGCGTGGTCGGAATCGGCCGAGGGGATTGCAGTCGTTTCCGACCACGCCCACCCTGCTGGGACTGTTGCTTTAAATCATTTATACCTTTGCTGAATCACAATATAAAGTCCTTGAACTTCCACCTCAATCAGGATACTGGGTGAGCCTCAAGAACCTCAAGACGCAGTTTCTCAGAAGTTTGTACAGCTTCTGGTTTATTCACAAGATCCGTCTCTATTTATGAGTTTGCTTCAAATTCCACTGTTTTATGACCTTTATTTGTTGAACGGCTCCACCTGATCCGAAACAAATAGAATTTCTTGTCTCACGCCCCACCGACGAAATTAATTCCATGATCTGCTGTTTTTGAGGGATGAATCGCAAGACCGTTGCCCGACTCGAGAGCGACGTACTATAATGGTCTTCCTCGTAGCCATCGACCTGTTGTGGGAGCTAACGGCTGTCCAAGAATATATATTGTCAAAAAGCGAATCCGATGCAATTCAGTGTGGCGCATGGAAAAATTGTCTGCGGCTTCAAAAGCTTATAAACGGTACGGGGAATTACGTTACCATTATAATGCACCGAATACAAACTTATGAATGCCATAAACATCGAGCTCTTCCCTTGGGCAGAGAAAAAACATTTTTTGTGGGTCGTGAATGGAGCTCTAATGAATGTGAAGACCGAAGAAACTTTTTTATTTCTCGTTAACGACCATACCTTGCTCAAGAAATCTCAGGGTTTTCTAAGAAACTATTGAATAGGAACAAAGAAAATGGACTTTATCTTCCTAGCCCAAAACGAATTGAAGCTGGTCAACCGCGACTTCCTCCCCTCCACGGTTTTTCGTCTGAGTACAAGCGACAGGTCAAACTTAATGCTATTCAATACAGGATTTGAAAAAAGCTGGGCGTATCTTTAGTTCAACTATAAAGAACAATTAGATTCACTAGCAACGTGTTGGTTCAGGGACTGAATTTTTGGAAAATCTGATGGGAGCCCATTTGTCCGGCTATTGGCTGGACAAATTTCGGCCACTTGAAATCTCCAATGCCACTGTACTGGATTATATAATGAAGTTGATATTGAAGCTGAAGGAGTGCACGAACAACGCAGCTCAAATTGAGCTAAAGGCTGCCCTCCAAAAGGTTGATTTCGGTACGGTCTTTTTGAAGGAAATTGCAGAGTTCCTGGCGGCCATTTTGAACAAAAAATGCCAGCTTGCACGACAAGATAAGGTCACACATAGCTATAGGTAATAACCCGTTACTACATATTTCTAGTCAGAACTGAG